GCCCAACTCACTTACATTCACCTCGATGGCAGTGCCTTCAGTAATAACACCCAAAGTTCTATAAAGTGGGGATGAGGGATTCTCCTTTGTACCAACAAGTATTGGCAGGCAAAAGGTGGCTTTCAGTTCAGGATGCGTTAGATGGGCCTTCTTGAAATGTAAGCCCATTGGCCTAATGAATCTTTTGTAATTGGGTGGTTTTCAAGTAAAACCGTCTCTAACAAAGCAGATTTTAGTAACCATACTCTTCTATGTTTTTTTCTCTCTCCTTCCTGTTTGAATAACTTTTCATACCTCTGTTTCTCCCTGGGCACGAACTCTGGGCAGAGGGACTTCCCATTTTCTCCTCTTTCTCTTTTCATTTTTTAAAAAAAAATTTTATTTATTTATCTTTAGAGGGGAAGGGAAAGAGAGAGGGAGAGAAATATAAATGTATGGTTGCCTCTCGTGTGTCCCCTGTTGGGAACTGGCCTGCAACCCAGGCATGTGCCCTGACTGGGAATCGAACCTCGATACTCTGGGTCACAGGCCCGTGCTCAATCCACTGAGCTACACCAGCTAAGGCTCTCTTTTCATTTTTATTTAATCCTATTGGAAAGTAGTTTAGCTCTGGACTGTCCCTTTCAGCCCAGTGGATATGCAGTGCTGCTCCTTGTGGAGTCACTTCATCATTCTTTTGTGTAGTGTTTCTCTTTTCATGCATCTTGATATTCTTTTCCATTTGTATTTTCTCAGCATGTTTATGGTAGAGCTTGGCCTTCAGACTAATCATCTTTTTTGCCTTCTTTGAAAGTGTTGAGCCACTTGACCTTTCTTCTTTCTCTTTTTCTCATGGTAATTCAAATGATATCCATAGCATTTATGATGTAACTCAATATACTCATTCTGTGGCCTGGTTACCGTGGGCAGCCTGGGGAAGTCCCTGGTGCGTGAAGAAACTTTCAACTTTAGGGTCTCAGAGACCCACAAAGCAACTCTACTGCAACCTGTGACAGGAAAGAAACAATTCTCTATTTTTATTTTTAGAGAGAGAGGAAGGGAGGGAGAGAGAGAAAGAAATATTAATGTGGGAGAGAAACCTCAGTCAGTTGCCTTTCACAGGTGCTCCATACCCAGGGACAAACCTGGAATCTGGGACTGTGCCCTGACCAGAACTGCACTGGGAACCTTTCACTTTGAAAAGCCATACCTAACCAACTAGCTACACTAGTCAGGGAAGGACTTTATTTCTTTTTTAAAAAATGTATTTTATTGATTATGCTATTACAATTGTCCCATTTTCCCCCTTCACTCCCCTCCACCCTGCACACCCTCTCCCACCCAAATTCCCCTCCTTTAGTTCATGTCTATGTTTCATGCTTATAAGTTCTTTAGGTTCTTCCTTTCCCATACTATTTTTACCTGCTCCCTCTCTATTTTCTACCTACCATCTATGCTACCATCTACCTACCTACCATTATTCTCTGTACCTTTTCCCCCCTCTCTCTTCCTCCCACTTCCCTGTTGCTAACCCTCCATGTGATCTCAATTTCTGTGGTTCTGTTCCTGTTTTAGTTGTTTGCTTAGTTTGGTTTTGTTTTTGTTTTAGGTATGGTTGTTAATAATTGTGAGTTTGCTGTCATTTTACTGTACATGTTTTTGATTTTTTTCTTCGATGACACACTGATGTTTCATTCCTTCCACACCGGCAAAGCATTTCCATTTGAGGACTTTTTTATCCACAGAAACAAACAAACAAAATAAGTTGCTGGGGTGATATCAGGCGAATAGGGTGTGGCATGGGGATCATGCTGTTTTTGGTTAAAAACTACTGAAAACTCAGCACAGTGTGGGCAGGTGTGCTTATAAATCACCCATCATGAAATGGGCAACACACTGAGTCTTCGAAAAAATTCACTGAGGCCAAACACATTCTCTTACAACAACGTCAGCTGGTACACTGATACAGTGGGTTCCTAGAACACTGACCTAGTGACGGAAGCCTGTACTCTAAGAAGCCCACCCCCCAGAAGATAAGTCTATTTTTTGTGGGGTTCCCCCCTCATATTTCATTTAGTATAATGTTCTCCAGGACGGTTTATGCTGTTGCAGAGAGTAAACAACAAAACAGACTCACAGATGGAGAGCAGGCTGACAGCTGTGGGATGGAGGTGGCTTCGGGGTAGAGGGATCAAGAAAAAAAAAGAAAAAAGAACTCGTGGGCACAGAAAACTGTGCTGATCGTGGGGAGTGTGGGCAGGGAGATGGAAGAAGGTATGGGGGGTTAAATGGTGATGGAAAAAAAGATGACTTTGAGCGTCCTAGTCTGGTAATAGAGTCATGTCAGTCTGAGATCAGCATTTACACCGTATGCTTTAGCAGCAGTGCAAAGAGGCACATGTACCCAAAAGGGACTTGGGTGGAATGAGGACGACAGGAGGAAGCTGCAGCAACCTGAATAACTAGCACTGACTGAGCCTTTATTCTGAGCTAAATACAGTTCCAGGGGGATAGACCTGGATAGACCAAGGGGGACCCAAACATGAGTCCTTGTTGCCCTCTGGAGCAGGTGGTCTGAGGAAATAAAGTTAAGTAAAATCCAAGAAATATACAAAATTAAACCTTCTAATGAATTCTATGAAGGAAAGAGTAAGAGGATAACAGGAGCAAAATCTTTTAGAGATACTTAAAGAATGTATTACACATGCTAATTATCACTACAATGGTGATAGTATTGCAATATATAAATATTCCAAATTAACATGTTATACACCTTAAATTTGCATGTTATTTGTCTATTTGAAGAATCATGAGTAGAGAAGGAAGAAAAGAATGTTCTTTTTTTTTTTAAAGTCATACCTGAATCTGATCAAACCAATTTACAATAAATGCAGAGGATGGAAAAATAAGCTAAACAGAGGAACAAATGAAATTAGCAAAATCCAAATAAAGAAAGTGGAGAAAATTTGCCTTGGCTGGTGTGGTTCAGTGGACTGAGTGCCAGCCTGAGAGCCAAAGGGTTGTCAGTTGTATTCCCAGTCAGGGCACATGCCTGGGTTGCTAGCCACGCCCCCAGCTGGCGGCATGCAAGAGGTAATCAATCGATATATCTTTTGCACATTGATGTTTCTTTCCTTCTCTTTCTCTCTCCTTTTTTCCTCTCTCTAAAAACAAAGAAAATAAAATAAAACCTTTATAAAAAGTAAAAATAAATTCTAAGAAGAAAAACAATGGTATTCCCACGGGAACTTCTGTCCTAGCCTAAGGCAATGTGATCAGTTTAGGCTCCAGGTCAGCTCTTGTCCTAAATTACTGGGGGGGAGGGGGGGGGAAGTCCACCAGGTGGGGGCACGCCCAAGGAGGGGGCTGGAATGCTTTCCTAGGGGAATTTCCATGGGTGGATTCACTTTCGAACCTGGAAAGAAAGGCGCCAGAATTTCGACCATTGTCTTCCTAATCCAAAACCATTTGGTCACACCCTAATCTAGTTTATGATTCTAGACTTTTAAATGCATTTTACTTTAGTGAATTCTTTAACCTGAAGGCTTACAGAAGTGCAGACTCCTGGAGGTCTAGGGTGGAGTCTCATAGTGTATTTTTTAAATCATTTTATTTCTTCAATAATCTGAAGCTGAGCCCTTGCAGACCACATTTTAAATATAAATGAAACTGCTCTGGGCTCCATGGCTGCTGAGTCTTAATGGACCAAACCACTTTCCTAGGGCAGAGGAAGTCCCCTGCAAGACCACTGGATGCCAGTGCTGCTGTATCATTTGCTAATATTTGCTTTAGTGCCTCTGGTCCCTTACAGCGACATGAAAATATCCATGACTTCTTTAGGCTTATGGCTTGTCATGCCCTGCCTCCAACATTATGCTTCAGCAATCCCTCTGTGCTTGTAGTTCCTTATGTATTTCTTCGTCCATTCACCCCCTTCTTGTTTTGGCTCTTGCTGTGCCTTTTCTGAACAGCCAAACCCTTCCTCTTATCCAGTTTATCAATATTGCACACTTAATATTTATATTTAAAAGTAAATCCAGGAGGAATTCTATTATTCAAGTCCTACAATTTAATTCTAATGCCCCAGCGAGTGACACACCCTGGGCATAAATCTGTTATCAAATACCTCTGAATCTTTTTTTCTATTCTTTCTGTTCTGTTTTTTCTATTCTAAACTTTATTTAAGAGTTTTCTACTTGCAATTTGCTCCCAAGTTTTTATTTCTTAAGGCTAAAAATCTTTTAAAAAAAATTATGCAACACAGCAACACACTATGATAGCCACCAGGGGCTTAGACGATTTATGAAAACTGAATATACAGCCTTAAAGTAGAATGTGGGCCTTGATACCCAGAAGCACCCAGTTTCGTAAGATTTGTAACAAAAACTAGTATGACTGGACCTAATAGTTCTAATGGAATGTGGACCCGAGAGCCATATGAGTGCCAGCAGATTTCATACAGCATCAAAGCTGTTCTTGCAGGAGCTTCGGCGCCTAATGACGTCTGATGAAAATAATGAAACTCAAGCCACCTGAGGGAGAGTGTAGGCCCACCCCTCCCCCCATCTGATTTAAGCAGTCTTCATTTTCCACTTCATTTATCTAGAGAAGTAGTAAATTCTTTAGATAAAGTACTGGAAAAACAGTTCCCATTCAAAGGCAATTTATCTCAAGATAGTGTAAATGACACTATTTTTTTTTTGTCTATTTGAAATATGTAACTTGCACTGTAACAAAAATAAATAAATAGATACGTTTTAAAAAATTAAGAGTGATGTTAATTACCCATTAGCTCAAAGCCCAATTAATAGACGAGAGATAAAACGGGATGAAATTATCACACTATCAGATGATGGGAAGGCAGGAAGAAGAGGAAGAAAAGAGCTCTTTTGAGAAACAGGAAGTAGAAGGAGACATTTGCTTATAAAAGGAGAAATCAGGCTAGAACCCTCAGGTTAAAAGGAGTGAACTGCAAGTGTCCTCCACTCTGCGGGCTTTACCTTCCTCCGAGGTTCCTGGAAATGACGAGCTCGAGTTTGAATAGCAATGAAAAGGTAAGTTTTCTTCAAATATAATTAATTTTACTACAGAGTCACTTTTCAGAGCCTTTCTGGGACTCACTTATGTTCCTCTCTCGCCACCAATCTTAGTTTCCAGATGTAAGAAACTTCCACCTTAGATCTCCTTCTTTTTGCTGTGGATCATTACTTTTCTTACACGTGAATGTGGCTCTGCGTATTTGAGTGATAGTAAAAAAGAAATAAAATATTTTTTAATAGCGCAAAGTAAGAGATCTATTTTTGGCAGAAAGGCATGGTATAAATGGATAAGATAAAAATAATAAAAAAGTGGAGAACTACAATAAAAAGAATGTGGAAAAGTGTAATGTAGATAAAGCCAGAAAGTGAAGTAACCAGCTAGTTTCTTAACTCCGGGAGTGAGAAGTAACTTATTCCCATTAGCCTTCCCATTAGCCGGTGTCAAATGCATTTCCAAACTAGGCTTGGGTCGCCCCGGTCTGGAGGGGAGGGTTAATCGAGAAGTTTTCATAGGTATTTACAAGGCTGCTCTACGCGGTTGGAGAGCTGATTTGGCCAGCGTTAAGTGTTTGATTGTGGGCACATCACATAGCTGCTTTGAGCCCCCAATTATCTCTAGAGTAGAGTAATATTTCCCCAATAATATCAATATTTTTTTGAAGCTGACCATTGAGTGTGTGTGAAAGTGCTTTGAAAAAGTGGTAAACAAATGCAAAATCCCTATATGCAAGCCAGGAGTGGGAGAGCAATAGGAAGCTATTGAGATGATTTAAATAGGGAAAGGGGGTGTCTGCATAAGCTCCCGCTTAGAAGCTGTAGGGAAAAAAGTATTACAATAGGGCTGGAGTGGAGTTGATTTGCCTTCGTTTTGAGAGGAAAGGCTAAATTCAGAGATTTACTCAAGCCTATGTTACTCTCTGGCACTGGTCTTTTAATTTCTAAGGCTTGCTTGCCTAGTTTTTAAAATAGAAGTACTTCTATACCACCAGTCTGCTCTGAGGGTTAAATGAGAAACACAGAAGCACCCAGCACAGTGCGTGTTAAGTGTACAAAGCAGTAAATGTTACCTCTTACCTGTCCACTTTACCTTTCAGTCATTACACCATAAAAAGCACACCGAGGGCCCCATTTGCTGAGTGAAACAGATACATTCTCTCCCCTCAGGTCCTGGGGCAGAAATAAGGACAAAATGGCTTGAGCTCAGAAAGCTCTTAAGCCGGAATGGCAGGCAGAAGCCAGAGTGTTGAGGAATGTGTGAACTACAGAGTGAAGCTTTTTTTTTCTTCCTTTTTTAAAAAGTTTATTTTTAGAAAGAAGGGAAAGGTGTGAGAAAACAAAAAGCATCAGTGTGCAAGAGGAATATTGATTAGTTTCCTCCTGCACAACTTCAGTTGGGGACCTGGCCCAGAACCCCGGCATGTACCCCAACTGGGAATCGAACGTGCCACCTTTTGGTTCTCAGAACAGGACTCAAGCCACTGAACCACAGTCAGGACTGCACAGCAAGTTTGGTCATTAACCTAAAAAGCAATGATAAGCCACTGAAGTGCTTTAAGCAAGCAGGAGAGGAATCTGAAGAAAGAGTGGAGTTAGAATGGGTTTTGGAATAGCAGGAGAATTTTGCATATGCCAATGAGAGTTAATGATAGCTTGAATTGTGAAACAGGATGGAAAATTGGAAAGCAGGAACACAATTCATACAGATTTAGGAAATAAAATGAAAGTATCTAGTGTTTTAGCTAATGGAAAGGAAGGGCATGAGGGAAACAGTTTCCACAAATGTCTTCTATTTCCTTTTCATACTCGTAAATCTGGTTTTGCCGATTTCCTTATTGTTTTTTTAAATCTAGTAAAGGGTCTACAAATAAACATCAAATTTAAGGAAACCTCAATAAGTTTTCATTCCATCCACGGTCTCAGTTTCTCATTTGAAAGTAATCAATTTAATTGTATGTATCAAATGAGAATCAGAGATGGGCTATTTTTTTTCCAGGATTTCTTTGAAGATAAATTAGATGAAGAAAGTGTAATTCTCACATTGGTTCCAGTTGATGAGGAACATAATGAACAACATCAAATGGAACCAAGTGTGTCTTCAACCTCAGGAGCCAACTTGAGGATGCCTGGGACGGATGATACAGGTATGAGGATGAGGGTTGCTCAGTCTGCGTTTTTTTTCCAGCTTTGGGAAGCCCAAGAAAAAAGATTTCCCTTCGCTATTCTTTGACCATACAAGGTCCAGCTTAAATTTCACTTCAGTTTCTTGTAGCTTGTCATTTGCTAAGTAAGCATCACGTACTGCCTTGTCTTTAAGACACGCAACACAAATCAGCATGTGGCGCGCTTTGGACAGAATAGAGTCTTGTGGGGTAGCTAGATATGAGTTTAAATTTTCAACCAGTGAAGCTCAATCTTCTCTTCATTTTGGTTAATGCATACTTTTCAAACATCTTACAAAAACTCATTCAGATTTATTGATATTAATGCATAACACTGTAATTTTAATATATACAAAGTGATGATTCATGCACATATGTATTGTAAAATGATTACCAAAATAAGGTTAATTAGTGCATTCATTACCTCACACAGGAAGCTTTTTGTCCCCCATGTGGTAAGAATGTTTAAGATCTACTCTTAGCAACTTGCAAGTTTACAAAAGAGTATTGCTAACTAGCAGCCATACCATACATCAGATACCCAGAACTTACTCATCTTGTAACTGAAAACTTGTACCTTTGGATCTATAACATCTCCCCATTTCTCCCATTCTAAACCCCTGGTAACCACTACCCTACTCTGTTTCTATGAGTTATGTTTATTTAGATTCCACTTACTTATAAATGAGATCTGGGTATTTAGAAGACAAAACAATTTTGGAAAACATCTAATATTTGGTTGGTGAGTAATTACTAATCAAATATCTAGCAGTTCTTAATAATCATGACCCTTTGTGTCCTCAGTGCTTTGTATAAAGGCACTGAATAAATATTTTGAGAATGATTTAATTTTTTCAGCCAAAAATAAGGACGGCAAAATGAAGGAGATAATAACAAGTTATGGTTAAGCAGAGTGTGAACTCAGACAAACTGCTGTGGAGAAAAATAAGGCAGGCTGACAGAATGGAAGGCTACTGTTGGTTGGGGTGCTTTCTTTGATTTCTATAGGTCTAAAATCTAGACATTTTGGAGGAGCACTCCAATATAATGTTTTATAATTTGTATTTCTTTTAAGATTTATTTTTTAGAGAGGGGGAAGGAAAGAGAGGGAGAGAAATATAAATGTGTGGTTGCCACTCATATGCCTCCAACTGGGGACCTGGCCTGCAGCCCAGGCATGTGCCCTGACTAGGAATCAAACCAGTGACCCTTTGGTTCACAGGCCCATGCTCAATCCACCAAGCTACACCAGCCAGGGCAAGAATGTTACAATTTTAAAATTATTACTACTCTGGTTTTCTTTTTTCAGCTTATCTTCCTCAAATGAATGAACAGTTCAAAGATTACCCTAAACCAGTTCTCCCCTTGCCAACCATTTTGCCTTCATTTAATAAAGTACGTCGTGATACTTTGCGGGACTGGTGCCAACAAATCAACTTGAGTACTGAAGGCAAGGTGAGTACATGTGTGGGAATTTCTGCTGCTCAGAGCAAATACTGGAAGCTTTGTCAAATTTTACTCTGTCCCCTCCCCCTTGATTTTCCTAGAAAATAGACATTTATATGAGGCTGAAGAAACATGCTTACCCTGAAGACAAACAGGTGAGTGAGGAATATGGGTGCAGTGCAAAGGTGAGTTGTCATTGTGAATTGTTCCTCCTCTCCTAACAACTACATTTGTTGTGCATATAATGCAAGGGTGCTCAATCAGGACTATTGACATTTTGGGCCAAATAACTTATTTTTAGTTTTGGGAGCTGTCCTGTGTATTTTAGCAAATGTTTGGCCAACTAAACACCCCTGGCCCCTACCCACTAGATGTCCCAAGCAACTCTTCCTCCCCCACACAGTTTTAGCAATCAACAACCTCTCCCACTAGAGAGAACCACTGCTTTAAGAGAAACTCATGTATCTAAACCCTTCCTATGCTGACCTACCTGGGTCAATGGATAGATATGATAAAACTGACACAGAATCATTATGACGGCACTTCACTGAATACTCATCATGAATTCCATTTGCAGAGTATTGCTGAAATATCACAGGAGGACACATTGCAGTTCAGTTCGAAGAAATGCAAGATGGTGAACAAGAGAACAAGGAGTAATAAAAGTTGTAATACAAGTAAGAGAGAGAAAGAGACCAATACAGTTGAAGTGATAACTTCAGCTCAGGAGGCCATGTTGGCAGCATGGTCAAGAATTGCTGCAAGAGCCGCGCAGCTTAATAAGGCTGTGAATTCATGTTTCATTCCTGTTCCTGATGAGAACTTTCTGCCGCAAACATCTGGTAAGAGCAACCTTAAACAGTGAGTACCATTCCAGAAAAAGATGAACTTTTTAGTCCAATACTGAAAAGTAGTGCATCAAAAAGATGAACTTTTTAGTCCGATACTGAAAAGTAGTACAAGGGAAAGTACATTGAGTATCAGGTTCATAGAATTTTGTAGTATAAGACAAAGAATTAATATATCTGTACATTGGATATTAGGTTCATAGAAGACTTATCTTTTGATTGTCAAATTTTGCCTGGATGGATTTCTAAGCCAGGTGATTGACGGTGCCACCCTTTCTTACCACTAAGCAGAAGACCAAGTTGGGAAGAAAGCATAATCTGGTAATGTGGTCAGCCACAACCCAAGGTCTTCGCCACTTTTCTCTTCTTTCCGTTAAAGTTTTAATAACATAGTAAATAATAAGAAGGCAAGCATTTGTGTAGCCTTAGTTCAGATCCTTGTCTTACGACTTCAATGGTATGTGGCATTGGCCAGTTCCCTTGTAAGCCCTGATGTCATAATTGATAAAATGACTTCATAGAATGATTGTGACACTTAGGAGATATAAGTTGGCACATACAAAATATGGAATAATAATTAAAATATTTGGAACCCCTGTCTTAAGAAATCTTGACATAACTTGGCCCCATCTTTCTCCCACTTCTTCCCCCTTGTTTTCATTTCCAGTAGATCCTATCTCAGGCCAGCACAAAGCCACCCTTGTTCTTTTTTTTGCTTGAGTTCTTTTTCTCTCCATCTCATTTCCAAAAGTGTTCTGTAGCCTCTTTCATCCAGGGCTGACTTGTGTAGTAGGGCATGTTTTTTTTATTACACAAGAAACACAGCCACAAAGAAGATAGAAGGTGAAGTTGGCCTAATGTCTGATCTCTAAGCTGCACTCCCTTCTGTGAACAAGAATAGGCATCTTTTACTAATTTCCAATAAATTGTTCTCCAGTCACAAACCTGTCTCTGGAGGACTGCTTCCCCAAAGATGATACCTCCTTCTGGTTTTCATTAATGTGCTGTATGAGCTAGTAGTACCCCACACTTACTCATCTTTTTAGGTCTTCTCCATTTAGTAGTTATTTAAGCACCTACTATGATCTAGGAGAGTGCCTACTCACCAAACATACAGTGCTGAACATAATCAATTTCTACTGTTTTATAGTCTGACTGGGGAGCTCTTACGGATATTTAGGCTCCCAGAGACTGGTCCTTTCTCTCAGTTTCAAACATTTGATATCTTAGCCTGTTTACCTTGTTTTTTCTTACATATCCCTCTCCCCAATTTTATTATTATTCCTTAGGCTTTTAAACAAAGATCCTTGTGCATGTTTTTTATATTTGAAGCAGTACAATATCATAACTAGGCAAATAGGCCATGAATTAGAATATCTGGATACATGTATTAGTTCTGGGAAAGTTATAATATTTAACACCACAAGCTTCAGCTACTTAACCTGTAAATATAAAAAGTAAATAGAAGGTAAATATTTATAACATTCTTAATAAATATAGGAATACATGTAAACCATTTAGCAATATTGTGAAAACAAAACAAGCATTTCAAAAAGTTAATTACTATTATCCTTAATGCTATGTAATTTGTGAAGTTAGATTATAGTGTCTTTTGGTCTGCAATTTTTATGCTTCTCATTCAGTTGATTCATCAACAAAATATAAGAATGAAGCCAAGAGTGGCTTGCTGAGGAGAGGTTGGATTGGGGTGCAGTTACTTGATGTTAACCGTTTATATTTGCCTCTCTTTCCTTGCCAGGGGTCAGATGGTGTGTGGTCCATGGCAGACCTCTTTTGGGAGACAAAGAGGGGTGGGTTCGTCTGCAGTTTCGTGCAGGTCATGCCTGGGTGCCTGATACTCCCAGGAAGATGATCGCTCTCCTCCTGTTACCGGCCTGCACTTTCCCATCCTCAGATCTAGAAGATAATATGATATGCCCTGAATGTGTTAAGAGGTAAACCTTAATATTTTTCTGTATGGTACACCAAAAAGTAGATGTCTAGGTGGGTCTCTGAATAATTTAGTACTAGAAAGCAGAGAGCAAATATACTGTTTTCTTAATTTGCCAGGTCAGGGTTATAGATCAGGCAAAGATCGGAAGGAAACCGAATTTGGTAGTAGATTAAAACTCAGATAAATGAGGCTTCCTAGCCAGCTTAATAAAGTATCTGACACATTAGGAGTAATAATAGCCTCAATTTTAGAGACCTGTTTTAAAAATATATATATATATCAAATATGTAGCTGGGGATAAAAAAAATTGGGCAAAATTCATGTAGCGTGATAAAAAGATGCTATGAAAATACAAGGGTAGCTTAGGGAAACTTAGAAAGAATTAATTATGTTTACTGAGGAAGATCTTATCAGTTGGAAAGTAATAATTTGGGCATTTAGCTATGGACACAACCCCTACAAATACAGGGAAGTAAAAGAACATGGCATACCCAGAAACTGCAAATGCATCAATATGACTGAAGCTTGAATTGACAAGTAAGTCCAGGAAAGGGAGGAGTTGACCACTGACAGGCTTATATCTGTAATAAAGGTCTCGTATATTATTTTGTGGGTCATAATTTCTTAGTCATTTTTGGAACACACTACCTTGAGGCTATATAAAAGCTATACACTGTATAGCCACTGTTTGAGAAAATATACATAGGGCATATACTTAAATACTACTGTAGATTTTTTATATAGACTAGAACTTCTAATGTTTACCCATTAGTACAAAATTTAGCTTTAGATTAGTGGAGGTAATGTGAGATGGGTATGGAGGGGAGCTAAGGTTTTTTGTTTTAAAGATTTTATTTTATTTTTAGAGAGAGGGGGAGGGAGGTAGAAAAAGGGGGAGAGAAACAGGAGTGTGCAGTTGTTCTTTTCTGCCCCCAACTGGGGACTGGGCCTGCAGCCCAGGCATGTGCCTTGACTGGGAATTGAACTGCCGACCCTTTGGTTCACAATCTATTGAGCCACACCAGCTAGGAAAGGTTTTTTGTTGTTTGCTGTTTTCATAAAGAAAGCGTATTGATATCTTGCAACAGAAACTAGACGGAAAAGTAAGTAAGAGATAACTATAATAATTCTGAAAAGATGTAATATATGACCTTGGTGATGAGTTTAAAGACGAATGGGACAAATTTAAGACATGGAGTAAAAGGAAGAGGATGCTATCTTATTAGATGGAGGAAAGGTGGAGGAAAGGTATCATATACCTGGTTCAGTGGCAAAGTATATGATACATGGTACATGCTTAACATGGGTCTAAAGAACTGAGATGAGTGGGTTAGAGAGGAACATTTTTGGGAGTCATTAGCATTTAAATTGTGAGTAAAATGTAATGTGTAGGAATTAAAAGGGACATAGGAAAGAACCCTAAAGAGAATCAGTCTATCAGTGGCAAGTGAGCAATTGAAGACTATAAAGGTACAGTTTATAGGTTGGGAAATAAATGAGAAAAGGAAGCAAGGGGCAGAGTCTCTGAGGAAAATGGTTTGCAGTGAGGTGGCCATGTAGGATTATGAATAATGCAGTGCTGTTGAGAATGTCAATTTAGGAAATAATTTGTGGCCTTTTTGAGAGTGAGTTGAAAGGGTCAATAAAAGCAGAAATGTGATAGTACCAAGTTAGGGTCAAGCATGTGAAGAACTGTGACGGAACATACTGCTAATCTACTACCCTAGTGAAAAAGAGATGGCAGTTAGTTGAAGTAGTAATATCAAGGGAACTTTTTTCCTTCCTTTCTTTTTCTTTTTTAATGGGGAAACCATAGGCATGTGTGAATAGAGATGGGATGTGGGAGAAGCTGTGGGAAGGGAAGGGAGAGTATAAAGATAAAGAAAGTGCCCTGGCTGGTGTGACTCAGTGGGTTGAATGTTGGCCTACTGACCAAAAGTTCACCAGTTCAATTCCCGGTCAGGGCACATGCCTGGGTTGTGGGTAACGTCTCCAGATGGGACCATAAGAGGCATGTTTCTCTTGACACTTGGATGTTTCTCTCCCTCTTTTTCTTTCTCCTGTTCCTTTTCACTATAAATAAATAAATAAAATACTTTTTAAAATGATAAAGGAAGTGAAATGAATTGTAGTGTACAGAATATGAGGAGTGATATTAGGTGGGCAATCCTGTTCCATTGTTTGCTACATCAAGTTCTTTTGCCCACCCTTTTTAGGTGAGGGTGGGGTGCTAACTCCTCAGGAACTCTAGGAGAGGATTCCTTGTTTCATCAGTCATTTCCAAGGGGTGGTTTGGAATGGTTATCTTATTCTACCAGTTTTTCAAAATTATTTTTTACCTTGCTTTATAGGAATAGAAAGATGATGGAAAAATTAATTAAAATGAAAAGGAAGAAGAAACCTCGTTTGAATATACCCACATAATTCCTTTTGGATGGGTCATGTCTCAATAAAGAATAAATGGAATGCTTATAGCTAAATTGACTTGTATTCAAATGATTGCTGTGTTCTGTTCTGGACATCCTCAGTGTTGCTTGATGCCTTGAGTACAGATGTGAATGTCTGGATTCTGTACTTGAGGTTTGCCCAAAAGTGACTACCACTACTGCTTTAGGTATTTAGGTATGTAGAATATAATTGGATTTTGTCCTAATAAATAGATTTTTTTAGCAGTTTTAGGATTTCAAAAAAAACTGAGCAGAAAGTAATGAGTTCCAAAATTCTGCCCCCTCTCCAACATTCTACCTAGTATCGACACCGTGCATCAGAATGGTCAATTTGTTGAACTTATGATGACTCCTCATTATCACCGAAAGTCCATAGTTGACAGGGTTCAGTCTTTTGTGTTTTAGATTCTATGGGGTTTCACAAAGGTATAATGAGACATATCCACCATTATGAAGTCATACAAAAGAGTTTCACTGCCCTAAAAATTCTGTACTTTTATTCAACACGCCTTCCTCCCAACCTCTAGCCACTGATAATTTTTACCGTATCCATAGCTTTGCCCTTTCCAGAATGTCACGTAGTTGGCATCATACAGTAGTAGCCTTTCCAGACTGACTTTTCACAGCAACATGCATTTAAGGTTCCCTCTGTTTTTTCACAGCTTGATAGCCCACTTTTTTTCCCCCATTTTTTAATTGATTGATTTTTTTTTTTTTTTTTTTAGGGAGAGAGGGAGGGGAGGCGGGAGGTAACATTTGTGTACAGGTTTTTGTGGTCATACAGTTTCAACTTTTTGGGGTTACTACCAGGGAGCACGGTTTTTGGATCTGATGTTAAGAGTGTTTAGTTTTATAAATGCCAAACTTTCTTCCAAAGTGGCTACACCATTCTGCATCCGCACTAGCATGAGGTGTTGTCAGTGATTTAGATAGATTTTAGCTGTGTAGTGTTATCTCATTGTTTTAATTTGCAATTTTCTAATTACACTTGAGGTGGACCAGCTTCTTATTTGCTTCTTTATCATCTATATATCTTTGGTGAAGTATCTGTTCAGGTCTTTTACCTATTTTCTTTTGACCTGCCTATTTTGTTATTAAGTTCTCTGAGTTCTTTCTTTATTTTGGATGGCATTCCTTTTTCAGATGATTTTGTTGCAAATATTTTTCACAATCTTTGGCTTGCCTCCTCATTTTCTTGATTAATTGGTGTATTTAGGTCATTGATAATTTAAGTGACTGATAGAGATGGATTAAGATATTTTTCATTGCCCTCATTTTAGTTTTTTGTCTTTCCCTTTTCTGGTTTTAATTGAAGCATTTTATTATCTATTAATAAAATTAAAAACAACATCTGGATACAGAGAAAGCATGTAAAAAAATCCAACCTCCTTTCATGATGTGAATACATTTGGTACACAAAGAATAGAATGGAACAACCTAAACATATAGGTCACCTGTCCAAAGCCACAGCTAACATACTGAGTGGTGAAAGGCTGAAAGTATTTTTTCCTGAAGTCGGCAATAAGACAAGGATGCCCATTTTAACCGCTTCTGTTCAAAGTGACACTGGAAGGTCTAGCCAGAAACATTAGTTAAGAAAAAGAAACTTGAGGTCACCGAAATTGGAAAGGCAGAAGTAAAAACTACACAGGTGACATGACATTACATGTAAACTGAGTAATCCTTTGAAAACCTGTTAGAGTTAATGAACAAATACGGCAAATTGTCAGAATATACAAATCACAAAACCAGTTGTATTTCTATATAGTAGAAATGATCTGACAAAATGATTTCTAGTAACATCAAAATAGCCTATTAATACTATTAAAGGAATAAAGTTTTAAGGATTTATAAACCACATACACTGAAGACTACAAGGCATTGCTGGAAGAAATCTCAGTTCATAAGTGTAAACAGATAAATTTCAATGTAGAAACATGCTTGTATTTAAAAAAAATTATTTTTAGAGAGGGAAAGGGAAGAAGAGGGAGAGAAACGTCAATGTGTGGTTGCCTCTTGTGTGTCCCCTGCACTGGGGACACAGCCTGCAACTCAGGCATGTGCTCTGACTGGGAATTGAACTGGCGACCCTGTGGTTCACGGGCCAGCACTCAATCCATTGAGCCACCAGCCAGGGCCATGTTTGCATTTTTTTATACTGCTAGCATATGCATTTTATATATTTTATTTAAAAATTTTTTCATGAAACAAAAGTTGAAAGAATAGCAACAATTTACAATGATCATTTTTCCCACATTTAAAAAACTTTTCCATTTGTTTTTTTATTGATTACCCTGCATTATAAACAGACACATTCTTTGCCCTTAAATGCTTGAGCATGCCCCCTGTAAGAATAAGGGCATTCAGCATAATCTGTTACTATCAAACCTAAGAAATAATCATTTTATAACAGCATCTTGCCCTGTTCTGGTGTCTCATTTGGTTGGAGAATCATCCAGGGCACCAAAAGGTTGCAGGTTCTATCCTCGGTCAGGATGCGTGCAGGAGGCAACCAATCTATGTTTCTCACACTCATGTTTCCTTCTTCCTGTCTGTCTAAAATTAAACATATTCTCAGGTAAGGATTAAAATAATTTAAAAAATAGTAGCACCTACTATCTAGTTCATATTCAATAACTGTCCACAGAATGTTTTGTACTTTTAAAAATTCAGGATTCAGTAGTTTCAGGCAATTTATTTATCACACTATCTTCTTCCTTTAAATGAAAGATCTTTTCTTTATAATATTGTCTTTGAAGAGAAAAGGTCGGGTTACTTGTACAATATCCCATATTCTAGATTGTGTTCTTGTGGGGTCCTTAGACAAATTCTTATTAAACCCAAAATTAAGATTACAGACTTGATTCAATTCAGATAAAACATTTTTAGAAGAATATTTCATACATAAGACTGAGGATTTCATAATTTCATTGCATAAGAAGATCCATAACTCGGATTGTCTCGTCATTATATTAAAAAAAGTTACAACTTTATTTCAGTGATGACCACCTTATTTCTCCAAGGTGTAAATGCAGTTTTCACTTTCCGGTTTATAAATACTTCACAGGTTGACACTTCTGCCACCATATGACTGACTCTCTGGCCCCTTCCCCACAATTCTTCACCCAGTGAATTTTAACATCTGTGGTCATTCATGTCTGAATCAATGACTGCATTGATGGTTGCAAACTCTCACCAGTATTGATTCATTTTTTTAGCTGGAATTCTGTAAAAAAGAAGGAAAACTCTCCTTTTAGAGTTCCATTATAGTCTCATAAATTTAAAATATTTTAAAAATTAATTTATTTTTTACTTAAAAATTGAGTTTTAGTTAGTGTTATGACCAATTAATATTATGATGCACTTAAATATTCTTGGGTTTAATAGCTCATAGTATTTAAAATTGTATCACATGAATAATTTAGCATATTTTTCTTTTCTTAAAAAATTTTATTTATTGATTTTTAGAGATAAGGGACTCGTAAAGGGGAAAAGAAGAAAGCAAGAACGTGGAAAGAAAGAAATCAGATTTTTTAATTCCTTTTTAAAAAGATTTATTTATTTTTAGAGGGGGAGGGAGAATGAGGGAAAAAAACATCAATGTGTGGTTGCCCCTCTTGTACCCCTACTGGGGACCTGGCCTGCAACACAGGCATGTGCCCTGACTGGGAATTGAACTTGTGACCTTTTGTTTAGCAGATCGGTGCTCAATCCACTGAGCCACACTAGTCAGGGCAGAAATCAAATGTGCATGCTGGAACTGGGAGCATAATAAAAGCCCTGGCCAATCTCTGGGGGAAGTTTTGGAGCTAAAATGTCAAGGTTGCTCCCACCTTGAGTCAAAAGTTTGTGCTCTGTATACTGTAGCCAAATTAGTTGCTGGCTGGTTCCTTAGGTTAGGCCAAAGCCTGGGGCATTTATTCTCAACTGAGGGTGGGGCTCTCCCAGGGGCTGACAGTGGGAGGCTGTCTCCTGATAAGATTCCCTTCCTCAGCGAGGGGATCTGGGCAACTTCTATCCAAGTCCACTATAATTGGGTTTCTCATTTTGATCGCTCTGCCATGTTAGTCTGTTTTGTTTTCTTAATTTCTATTTTCTTTCTTCACTTTCCTTCCTCCATGTTTCTTTGAATTTATTCAATGTTTCTTTTTCTGGTTTGAGTGGCAATTTTCCCTGAGTTAAATTCTTGGCTCACTTATATTTATTTTAATCTTTTTATTTTTTTAATGATATGCTTAATGAAATTGCATCTCCTTGCTCAGGGGCCATGCTAGTCTTTGTGTTGTTCCAACTTTAGTATATGTGTTGCCAAAGAGAGCACAATCCTTCTGTTTTGTGATCAATACTTTTAAAGCTAGAAGTGTCCTTATAAAAACTACTTTCTCTAATTTTGGGAAGCTCTGAGTCATTATTTCTCCAAAATATTTTCTCCCTTGTATTTATTCCTTTCTCTTCCTCCAGGGTTCTTACTAAATACCGGTTAACTTTCTTCCATCATAGCTCTAACTTTTATTTCGTAATTTTATCTTGGGTTTGTGTCTGGAAGGCCAGGAGTGGAAAGACACTCGCCATTTGGAAGGAATCCTGAACAAGGAGTTCCTAGACTCTTCCTTCTCTTCTTCAGACAAGGCACATAAATGCTCAGAATAAGAATGTGCTACTGTTAACTAGACACAGACCCCCTGAGAGAGTCTGCCTAGGGCCCGCTGTAGTGTGTGGGTTCCTGACTTGGTGTAGGACAGATTTCACAACACAAGTCCAGGTGACTATGAGGATCCATTTGTTAAAGTTGGGGATGGTGGAACAAGGAAGGGCTTAACACAGAAGAAGCTACAGGAGAGTCTAGGCTGGGCTGCCTTCGCTCACTGGGAAGTCAGAGAAAAGGGAGGCTTTGGGGACGGGTTCAGGGGATGAGCCTGGGACAAGCATTGCCTTGCCCACCAGCTGCCCACTGCCTTGCAGGGGTGTCCAACCTGTAGCCAGCTGGCTGCCTGCAGCACAGGGTGGCTATAAATGGAGTCCAACCCAAAACTGTAAATTTACTTAAAACATTATGAGAATTTTTTGTGATTATGTGTCACAATGTATTCCATGCGTGGCCCAAGACAATTCTTCTTCCATTGTGGCACAGAGATGCCAAAAATTTGGACACCTCTGCTAGGAGATGCCTGTGAAGAAAGAACTGGGGGAAGAGAAGGAAAAAAGGGATTGGCGTGGGCTGTTCCCTAGAGGGAGAACATGTGTGCACAGGGCCCTTTGTCTTCAAGCTGTTTTTTTTCTCTTTCTTGTAGATGGGGAGTTTTAGGGGAGGTCTCAGGGGTGGGTTTCTGTAGAATACTCATCAGTTCTCCAGCTGTGACTGGTCAATGACAGGACAGGGCATCTTTAGTGATTGCAGTGGGTCCTGGCCATAGCTCACTCCGTTTTTCTGCTTTTCTGGGCCTGCAGCTCAAATACAACAGGCCCACATTTTATCTCCAGGAAGGAAAGTCGAGTGGAGGAGAGGTTACCTCGGGGGTAAGGTTACCAGGTGGGAGGCCCTCGTGACCACCTATCTGCACCTGGCTGTAGATAACTCAGCCATTGTGTTCAGCTATCTTCTCAGTTTCCCTATTCTGTGCACTAAGGAATTTTCCTATCTTCTTAGTATCTCTTCTTAGTATATGATAGTATCTCACTACCGTAAACGACAAGATCTCTGCTCCTCTGCAAACCACAGGAATCCACCACCTCCGGAATATCTAAGGAAAAGACGAGCCAGTGCATGTCATTATTAAGTAATGGCATTTTCAGTTTGTGACACTTAAAATGTTTGTGACAACTTCAGTTTGCTCTCTCAGGCATGGTCTTTTTAGCTGTTCTTTTCTATGAACACTTACATATAATCTACCTACAGCAAATAGCTTCTATCTAGTTATCGTACTTTGTCCAAACGCTTGTATTTCATACCTGTTGTTTTGTTTTGTTTTTTATCTTCACCCAAGGACATTTTTTTTTAAATTGCTTTTAAGAGAGAGAGGAAGGGTGGGAAGAAACATTGATGTGAGAGAAGCATTGATTGGCTGTTTTCTGTACCGTCCATATGGGGAATTGCACATGCCCAAACCGGGAACCAAACCCGCAAGCTACCTATGTGCCCCAACAGGGAATTGAACCTATAATCTTTAGTTATGGGACAGTGCTCCAATCAACTGAATCACACCGACCAGGGGCATACCTGTGTTTTTCAACTTAGCTGCTTATAATTTTTCTTGTCTTCCTCTGGGCAAGGAGGGGGTAGGAAAGGGAGATGTTCTGGCCCCAAGTAAGCACTAAATTTCACCCTTTATACTTTATTACTTACATTTTGAATTCTACAGGCTTGAGACTATGAGTGTTTGTGACCTGCAATATATTTCGTAGAATTAAAGTCAGGCTACCCTGAACTCCAGCTCCTGATGGCTAACGGCACAGTTGTCCTGTCGTCAGTGTTTTACTCGTATAGGGAGCCCTAACTGGCAGAATAGAAAGATCAAATGTCCCTTGAAAGCTTTCCCAATACAGTGCTTAGCTGGGCTTTCAGGGCAAAATAAACTTAGGGCGAAGTGCTGTGAAGTCTGTCTTTTAAGTGTCACAAACTGAAAATGAAAGTGGTTTCAGAGTTGTGATATTATTAATATATAATACTAACAGTATTATACATTACATGATTATGATATACAATACTTGACTACATCAAGGAGGATAAAACGGCTTGATCAAAACACCCCTTACCTTCTGTTATTTATCTACTGTACAAAGGCAAATTAGTGGGTATGTGGGCAAGATAAACTTGAAAATGAATTTGTTTTTTACTTGAAATTGGTTTTAGATTTAAAAAAAAAGGCTTTTCTAAAAGCCCACACTTTTGTATTAACAAAATGTACTTTTTGAAATTCTGAGTGTTCCAGAGTTAAGGATTATAAGTTTTTTAAAAAAAATTTGCCCTTGAAGTTAAACAATGGTATGTGAGGTAATGAAACGTACAGCTGCCCACTTACTGCATATAAATGAGTGTCATTGGGACATCCCAAGAACATTTCCCATCTTCGCTATTGAAGATTAGAATCCCCCATGCCTATTTTCTTCAGCCTCCCTGAATTTTAAAGGCTGAGTGGAAAGAGTATTAATGTTGGAGTTAAACATAACAGTGGTCAAATTCTGGTTTCCCCACTTAACAGCTATGAGTTCTTTCTTGTCAGTAAAAGGGCGGGGAGGTTTCTTACCAGGCTGGTGGTTTTGTTCTATTTTTTAATTATTTATTTAATTATTTTTAAAATTGTGGTTCAAGTACAGTTGTCTCCATTTCCCCACCACCACTCCCCCCACCCCCAGTCACTCCCACCCTCCATCCTACTCCCCTTTGGCTCTGTCCATGTGTCCTTTATACATGTGCCTGACAGCCCTTCCCCCTTTTCCCCCATTACTCCCTCCCACCTTCCCTCTGGTTACTGTCAGTTTGTTCTCAATTTTAATGTCTCTGGTTATATTTTGCTTGCTTTTGTTCTTTTGTGAGAGAATGCTTGTAAAACTCCTTGCGGAAAACAGATCTTTAATAATAGGTTCCTGCTATTATTATTCTTAGTCGATAGGAGACAGTGGGAAAGGAAGGAGAACCAATGCCATTGTCAGGCAGGAACCTTGGAAAATGATGAAGGGTTTATAGCAGGAACTGAGAGAGCACTCTGTCTATTACCATTTGTAGCCATTTCCGCCAGAATAATCTGATTCGTCAAAGGAATAATCCCAAACTTTCTTTTTCATTAACTCTCCTGCTTGAAATCTCTCTCTCGTTCTCTGCCACTTTCTCAATAGGAAGTTCGTGTCTGTGCATGATCTGTTATTTTATTTCCAATTTATTTTTCAGATTTCCCGGTGGAAAATCTCTACTCCTGACTGGCAGTAGAGAAGGTTTTATCCTTGTCCACCTGTCCTCCCACCTTGCCCTTCAACCTCTACTCACCTGACCTTCCCCTGCCACGTTCCCTCCAATAAAAAGACTACGCAGCATAGCTCTCTCTCCCCACGTGAGTTGAGTGCTGCTTCTCTTGTTTTCTGAATTCTTTTTGTATGTACTGCCTTTTATTGTAATTTAACTTTGCACTAAGACTCTCACTTGTCTTTTCAATAAGAGTGTTTCATCGAGGCAGTGATCATAGTGTTATACTTCTTGCTGTCTAACCAAGATGTTAATATCTGTAATTTATATTCTTTAAAGAATACTGTAGGAGTTTGTGGATTCAATTACCCCTTCACTACTAATTTTTCTTAAAATATTTATTTGTTTGTTTGTTTGTTTGTTTATCTTTAGAGGGGAAGGGAAGGAGAGAGGGAGAGAAATATCAATGTATGATTGCCTCTCATGCTTCCCCCACTGGTAACTGGCCTGCAAACCAGGCGTGTGCTGTGACTGCGAATCAAACCTGACTCTCTGGTTCGCAGGCCTGCGCTCAATCCACTGAGTTACACCACAGGGCCCTTCACTACTAATTTTGATACTGCGTGTAAAGAATTAGTATTTTTCTTATCCAAAAACCACATGGGTCTGCAGTCCACTCAGCTATTTCTGCATCAAATACTATTTTCTCCAAGTTATTCAACTGTAACACATTCTATTACAGGGGCGCCCTCTATTGGACAAGCGGCTGCTAGGTGAGATATGCTCTCTGAAATTGAGGCATAGTAATTTCTCAATACCAAAGTTTCAGTCTACAGGTGAATGCAGGATGCTTAAAGCAATGATATAACACCCGTGTAAATTACTAGTGGCTTCCCCCCCCCTTTAATCCCACTATACCCCGATGACTCTTGATGACTTTTTATTTTTAAAGTATATTTATTTACTTTTAGAAAGAGGGGAAGAGAGGGAGAAAGAAAGGGACGGAGAGAAATGCAGATATGGGAGAGAAACATTGATTGCTTGCGTCTCACTGCCCCCTACCAAAAACCTGGCCAGCAACCAAGGCATGAGCCGTAACAGGGAATCAAACTGGTGACCTTTCAGTTTGCAGGGTGACCCTGAACCCATTGAGTACACCAGTAATGGCTTGATGATTCTTTAAATAGAACACTGTTCGAATAGTGTCTTTGAAACACATGGATTCCTACCCTTGTTTAATTTTCTGGGCTTCAAAATTTGACTCAGAGAAAGCCAGGATTCTATCCATACACTGCACTTTTAGTCCCTGAAGAATGTGTAGTCAATTAAGCTATACTTCTAAGAGTGCTAACGCTCATTGACATTATTAATCATTTTAAACATGTCAATGGTCTGATTTCCTCTGGGAAAAGTGTGTACTGCTT